GCTAGAAAGTATTTATTACGAATATTTATTACGAGTATAGGATAAAGTATCCTATGTAATGGACTGATTACAAATTTGTTAGTGTTAATATTGGTATTTTTAGTATAAAATAGTAAAAATTCCTCTATTCCATCATTTTTACCCATCCCACGATCAATTACTAATTTCAATTATGTAATTATATTATTTCAATTATGTAATTAATTATATTATTTAACACGTCAGGAACACTTCTTTGTACCGAAGAGGCAACTTAGGTTTGGACAACTTAATGATTTATAATGTCCTATCATACCATATGGTGCATAAAATGCAAAGTACCACATACAGTACAGATCGAAGGAATGCCATATTTATGTTATTATAAATTATTTATTATAAATTATTTTTGCAAAGTCAGATGTACATTTTCATCTGCTAAATGAAAAATCCGAAATTGCGGTAGCTAAGAGAACAAAATATCTGAAATCTGAAAAAGTGCTATAGATGTATAGCTTAAATCTTTGTGATCGATGTTCCTAAATGAAAAACTGACTTAACCTCTTAGGCACGGCAGAATTTTGCGCGAGGCTGTTTCGTAAATGATACAACACTGCATACCTGACACTGGCGTAATAAAAACAAAGGCTATGTATACAAATCTGTATATTGTTAACACTGTTATAAAACGTTGTGAAGGTGAAAAAGGCGTGAAACAAAACGTATGAAAACAACATTCAACCTTTTGCACCTGACGATTTTTTGGCTAGAGACGAGTAGAAATTCAAAGATTCTCTACTAAAAAACTGACGATACTTTTTTGAGCAGTAAATAAAGAATTGTAGAATTATTTGACTTCGATACTTCGCACACTGTTACATTACATTAAATTTGATATATTAATTAATATCGATCTTCCAAATTTTATGAAATGGTGACCGAAGCTCACCTCTCGAGTGCAAAGGGTTAATTCAAAGGGTGAGCGATTAGAGTAAACCACTATAGTGAGGCATCGTTTAGAAAGATGACATACGCGAAAGCCACTATACTGGCGCATCGTGCCTAAGAGGTTAATAATCTAGATATACTCGTGTAGATAATAAATCTTATTGTACAGAAAACTGTGTCATATGCGAAGAAAAATTCTTTCTATTAGTCCCTCGAGCGATTTACAACCAACCATTTATCCTCTGCGAAAACCTACGAAGACTCATTCCAGAACCTATTAACCTAAATAAAGCGAAGATCGATCCTTGCACACTCTCAACTACCCTTTGCTACATCAGCAATAGTTCAAGCTCATTAATTGTTACAACAATCCGCCTTGTCCCTCATTTCTCGCATTTGCTACGAAGAATCTAGTGCACATTACGTAACCCAAGAGGATCAAGTCGTGAAGTTACCAAAATTTGACAACTTTGTTTTTCTCAATTATACTCAATTAATCGAAAAAAGCTACAAACACCGAGTTTCGACGTTTTGGCATAAATCGAAGCCTTGACCCTTGGTGCTACGATTTAATTACAAGAAATTATGCATTTCAAAGGTATTAAGCACTAATTACACCATAGTCAAATAACCAGTGAATGGAAAAGGAGTAAACCTTTTTAAAAAAAAAGAAATAAATAGAATAATATGAAATATTGAAGATCGATTATTCGTATGCGAGCAGTGAAGGATACGAACAAAGGAAATAGTATTAACACATTGAGTGACGACATATGAAACATTTAACACTAAAACTACCAACCCAGTGAAAATGAATGGTCCCAGAATTTTCCTTTTTGCACTCACCGAACACATACACCTGCTTTAAGAATAAAATTGATATCAACTCGTATTAAGAAAGAACTGTAATCAATATATTCACTCATATTCATCGTATTGCTGAAATTACTATAATCTGTGCACGTTATAGTTAGGTACTCATTAAAGATCGGTAGTTCTAGTGTTAAAGCCTGAGCACCGACCTCGTTCGCTTGTTTCCGAACAACGAGTAGCTAAAGAAAATATTTAAACTTATACATTTCCTTAAAATACTATATTTGGAATGCAAATTCGTCATTCTATGGACATTTCGCTATTACTAGAATCATCGGAATCACTCGAATATTGTAATGGAACAGTTCTTGATATTCTCCTTGGACCCAAATCGCTATCACTGTCCTCGACTCGTATGTCAGAATCTTCTGAATGTATCGAATAATCTGATAGAGGGTGAGCAATATATTCGTTAGAAACTTCACTCATATTACATGGGTAAAAAGTTACAGAATAATAAGAATTATTATATTGTTCAAGGAAAAGCGTGAATCTACGAAAGAGGTACTAACTAAGGAATACACTGCTCGAGATTGATTCTTGCTTTTATCGTTTCTGAACCGTCGTATATGTTTTATGTTCGGAGTATAACACATGCAGATTGTCGTAAACGTGACAAGTGAATGCAAATTGACGTGTAAGACATCCATACAAGCAAAAAAAGATCGTCGTCATCATGAAGATGAGGATTAAGTGACAAACTTAGAAACCCGCATTATCGCGGGGCTCAACGTGTTAATGAAATAAATGGTTCGGTTAAAGTCTTTGCAGTCACTGATCATATTATTTCAGTTACAATCGACATATTTGGCAATGAAATTTCAGTTAGCGCAGCATGCGCTTCGTCGTAAAAGGCAGGCAGCCCAGCGCGTGCTGTGTCGTAAGAAGTGGGCCACAGGGCACGTTTAACGTCGCACAACTCAGTGCTGAAAGGGTTAAAAGGGAGTTGTTGTTCATTAGACGCGCAGATCTCTGTCTGCAAAGGATTAATTTAGCAAAAAGTCCTACGGTAATATAAAATAAAAATAAGAAAAGGGGTAAGACAAGCGAAATTCTTGGACCATGACATTCGAGTCACCGTATATATCCGCGTTGTTAATCGCCCTTCACGATCGCGCAGCCACGGTCAGGAAGATTCGTGCAACGCGAGAGCAGGTCGTACCCGAGACGCAAGAAACTGCGGAGAGAGTACACGTAACACAAGCACCGAGAGACCCGTGGAAGGAAACGAGCGTGGCAGAGGTTTACGTCGGCGCAACACTTTCACCTTTCCCCGTTATGAGATCACCATCTCGCCCGTTCTGCCGGCAACGACATAACTTCGTTAATTTGTTGCTCGATTTACGCGGGAATTAGCCGATAAGCCGCGACCCACGACACCTAGCCGCGAAGATAGACTCTGATAGAGATAAAGTCCAAGCAGACCCGAGAGAGGCCGGAGAGATTTCCGCAAACAGGCTCGGGTTCCGCGTGCTGGCAATTAGAACCTTCATCGAGACCCGATGTTTGTTTCCTCAAGTTTTCTCCCTCTTCCTTCCGCATCGTCCGGCAGGATTTGTACATTGTGGCCGAACGCGATCTACTCGCGCTGATTGCCGGCCATTTCCTTTCCCTTGCCCGATGAGAAAACGCTAAACGTCCGGCAGTTGAAAGGCAGAGATCGAATGGAGGACCGTAGAGATCGTTCGCCGAGACTGCTGCCTTTGTCCGTGAGAACAATCCTCCTTAATTGCTGCTTTGATTAATCGCGCTAACGTGGAACAGAGGCTGATGCATCGCCAAATGGAGCATCTATGCATTGCAAACGAGAAGCGTTGAAATGGACGTAGGAAATTTATGACGTGGCCTGAAAGGGCCTACATGTAGTGGCAGAGTTTTCCCACTTGGAAGAAAATCCAAAAGTCCTGGGTCAGTTGTCGAGAAGAGTCGTACCCTGTCTGATGTGCTCAAGTATTTCTAAAATAAAGCCATTTTCTAAAATAAACGTTAGCTGCCACGCGCATTTATGAGGGAATCGGGGTCAGGCACCAACCACCTAACGCCATAGTTGTTTCATCCCAAAGGCTGTGTTTATAGCATCTTATTTTAATTTTCGATCATTCTAAAGACTTTGTGACGGCATCATTCTCAGCCTCGTCGATAGATGGATTCCTACTTCACGGTGGATCCCTCCGTTTCCTACGTATACAATATCTAAACCTTGTAATAGTATCCCTGTCTAAGGCAGGGGCCTGCTAGATAGCCTTACCGATGAGACCACTAGCAGGCCCAGGACGAAACGCATCCCTTCCTTTTCCTTTCGTGCTTTCTAGCACCACCGCTATATCGAAGATATCTGCGACCAGACAACTACAACAATCGTGGGGCATTTTATTATTTTTAATAATTGCAACCCACAATTTTATTATTTTATATTTCGACTGTAACTCTGAAGGTTAGACATGCCTCTGAGCACATCCTCTCAGTGGATTAAGTCATATATCTAGATGCAAAAGTACAGGAAATTTGCGACTATCAGACCTGACAGATTGGACCCACACATAGCGTGGACAGTATGATAGACCCACCAAAGTGACGGACGGATACCTACGTGTAAATCGCGTCATTGACAACCGAAAAGCAACTTCCGTGACAGTTCCCACTCCTGGGCCAAAAGTCCTTCCGACACACGCACGTCCAAGGCACTTGTCAAGTCTAATCCTCGGAGTTACAGTCTTAATACAAAATAATAAAGTTTTTAGAATTATAGAGAATGAAAGTAAGAGTTACGCTATAAGCATGGTCGAAGAGCTGGAAGGAGTCGGAGTTGCGAGTAAAATCTAGCGCAATTACCTCGGAGAGGCTGTAAATCAATTACACGGTAGAAATGTAATTTCAGGATAGATGAAGCTATTAAAATAAGTTAGAGTTGCTTTAAAACACGATAGAAGACACGACAACGTGGTAGAACGCGTGAAATTGTCTGTTTACAGGAAGACGATAGACTCGATGAGGAAATTAGAAGAACCAAAGACACGATGAAGAACGTAAATTTCCACGTGTCGTTCAAGGTACACCGTATCCAGAAAATCGGGACTCGGCCACCAGACATCCTGTCACGGTGAAAGGGACAACCTGCGTGATGAGATGCGAACTAGCCATCGATTCCAAAGTCCAAAACAGCGTACGTCCAAGTCTAGGAGCCTATCAGTTAGGAAAGAATGGTTTTCAGTGCGATCGTGGTCACATCGGCCTTAAAGGGTGCCCTGGGCCTGGTGGGAACGAGTCTATGGCTAATCCCTCTGCTGATAGCAGGTTTGTCTTACTACCGATACGACCAATTGGACCCAGAAAGTCGACCAATCGACAGGTACCCTCTCTATCCAGAGTACGACTTCGTGGTCGTGGGTGCCGGGTCAGCTGGAGCTGTCGTGGCCAACAGGCTGTCAGAAATTCCTAAATGGAACGTTCTGCTACTAGAAGCTGGTCCGGATGAAAACGAAGTAACGGATGTGCCATCGCTAGCAGCTTATCTTCAACTAACGAAACTAGACTGGAAGTACAAAACGGAACCAACAGGGAAGGCCTGCCTGGCTATGAAAGGTGGCCGCTGCAACTGGCCCCGTGGTAAAGTTCTTGGTGGTTCCAGCGTGCTCAATTACATGCTGTACGTCAGAGGGAACAGACACGATTACGATCACTGGGAGTCCATGGGTAATCCTGGCTGGGGATACAACCAAGCGCTCTATTACTTCAAGAAGTCCGAGGACAACAGGAACCCCTATTTACAGAAGAGTCCCTATCACTCCACTGGCGGTTACCTGACAGTGCAAGAGTCTCCGTGGAAGACTCCTCTAGTAGTAGCGTTCGTTCAAGCAGGTACAGAGATGGGGTACGAGAACAGGGACATAAATGGAGAGCGACAGACAGGATTCATGATAGCTCAAGGAACAATTCGCAGGGGTAGCAGGTGTTCCACGGCAAAAGCGTTTCTACGTCCAATTCGTCTGCGACGAAACATCCACACGGCCATGAACTCTCACGTAACAAGACTGCTGATCGACCCGGTCACCATGAGAGCAACGGGTGTCGAATTCGTCAGAGACGGTAGTAGACAGATAGTCCGCGCGAGGAAAGAGGTGATTCTTTCGGCAGGAGCGATCAACACTCCTCAGATCCTCATGTTATCCGGGATAGGACCCAGGGAACACCTGCGTCATATTGGTATCAGGGTGATCAAGGATCTCCGAGTAGGTGACAACCTACAGGACCACGTTGGTATGGGTGGACTAACGTTTCTCATAGACAAACCCGTGGCCATCGTCCAGGATCGCTTCCAAGCTGCCCCAGTGACGATGCATTACATAGCCAATGGAAGAGGTCCGATGACCACTCTGGGTGGCGTAGAGGGCTACGCCTTCGTGAACACCAAATTCGCGAATCGATCGATGGATTACCCAGACATTCAATTACACGTGGCGCCGGCGTCCATCAACTCAGACGCCGGCGTCCAGGTGAGGAAGGTTCTAGGCATAACCGACGAAGTCTATGACACGGTGTACAGGCCAATAGCGAATAAAGACGCCTGGACCATCATGCCGCTTCTGCTCAGGCCTAAATCGAGAGGTACGGTTAGGTTACGCAGCTCCAATCCGTTTCATAGTCCATTGATCAACGCTAATTACTTTTCCGATCCCTTTGACATCGCTACCCTGGTCGAGGGTGCCAAAATCGCGATGAGGATCAGCGAATCCAAAGTGTTCAAGCAGTTTGGCTCTAGGGTTCACAGGATCAAGCTGCCAGGTTGCAAACACCTGAAATTCGCTTCTGATGCCTATTGGGAGTGTCATATCCGACATATCTCCATGACGATCTACCATCCGGTTGGAACGACGAAAATGGGCCCGTCCAGCGATCCCACTGCTGTCGTGGATTCTAGACTGAAGGTACACGGGATCGACGGGCTGAGAGTGATCGACGCGTCGATCATGCCTACGATTTCCAGCGGGAACACGAATGCTCCGGTAATTATGATCGGAGAGAAGGGAGCTGATCTCGTGAAGAATGATTGGCTGACGGTGGAAACATCGAGGAGCTAATGCATCTAGAGGTTGAGCAGTAGGTGTTGAGAACTTGGGTGCATAGGGTACTGCGTGAATTTTGTTGATAGATAAATAATTGTCAAATGGTTAATTACGTTTTGTTGATAGATTAGTCGTGAAGAATGAGTGAGATTCGCGAGTTCGAGGCATTGCAATGACGTCTGTATTGTGATACGTTGATTGTATATACTATGTGTATATATAAAGGCGAAGTTTGGTTAAATTAATTTGCAGAATTATTAAGTTAAGTTGTGGAATACTATAAGATGGTTTGAAATAGCAGAAAAATCAAATTAATTGTTAAAAATTAACGAATTAAATGCTAACTTGAATCAATTGTGAAATAAATCCCATTAAAAGTTCTATTGTGAATGTAAATATACTTAACCCTTTGCACTCGAGAGGTGCCTTTCAGTCGCCATTTGGTAAAATTTTCATATAAAATTAATATATCAAATTTAAAATAATGTAACATTGTGCGAGGTATCGAAATTAAATAATTCTACGTGTTAATTATTATACGATTTCCTATTTACTGTTCGAAAAATATCATCAGCCTTATAGCAGAAACTTTTTCAACTCGTACCCTTCTTTAGTCAGAAAATCGTCGAGCGCAAAGGGTTAATACATCGAGTCGGAAACGATACGAAAATAAATCGTGGACTGTTAATATCGTAGCATGACAACCGTAATTAATTTCAATGGTGCGTATAAAGTATCGATAACTGTACCATTCTGCAATTGTCATTTAAAGCTACGTAAAGCGATTAAAATTATTTTTTGTTTCCCATTTCATTTTCATGGAGGAATCTTCCTCCTTTTTATTTTTGGGATAAAGAATTTCCACGATTCCGATATTTTAATTTAAGACTTAAATTGCTAATTAAATTAGACCTAATATTTGTTTCAATGATAAATACTGCGTGAAGTATATCATCAGCTAGGCTATTTTGTAATTGTTATGTAAAACTAGACAAACCGATTAAAATACTTTTCAGTTTTCCTTTCCCCTTTTCCAGATAAATCTTTTCTTTTCTAATTCTTGCAATAAAGAATTTCCACGAAATTAAAATATACTAATATAAATAAAAATATACTATGAGACCATTAAGTGTCTTAAAATTTTAAGTCGAGTTAACAAACTAGTTTCCTCAGCGTTCAAAGGATCGAATGAAAAGTCGAATAAAGATTATAAATGACGACAATCTGCTCCCAGATCTTTCTATATACCTGTAAAGCAAACAAATCAATAGAATCATTATGAGTCGTAAGGAAAGACCGACTAATTATTCGAGTTTAATATATTTACATACAAGGAAAACAATCTAGAACCTGACCAAAGTTTATTTCAGAATATTCTCAGGAATTAACTGTTCGACTTAACGCCAGTAATAATATCAAAACACTACGATAGAAACACAAATATTATTAATTAATTCTTAATTAAGTACACTAAAAATTATTAATTGATATCGGCCCTTAATTAATTCGGAATATTCTCAGAAATTAATTGCTCATCTTAATGCCAGTAATAATATTAGAATATTACAAACATAAATCTTATTTACACTACCTTGAATTAATATTCAAATGACGTAAATTATGTCATAGTTATAGGATTAAGAGTACTGATGATATATTAAAAATTGAATTATTTATTGATACTGATTCGAAACATTTTGCAATATTCTTCTATTACACAGACGTCCTTTAATATTTCAAAGGGATGGTTAAAAGAAAATTTTTCTTCCTATATTTAAAATCCTATTCAAACCTAACCCGTCTTCGCTGTAAATTGGTGCAATTAAGTGTAATTTAAAACTATGTTTATAAATATTTTTTGCACGAACGAAGTCAGACATTTTCTTAAAACGAAACAGCTTGAAAATCAATTAAGTTACAGACCGTTAAGTTACATACGAAATTACGAGATAAATATTAATATAAAATTTAGAATGTTAGTAGAAATCATTTTTATTTAAATGTAAATTGTTTCTGTAATCTCTGTCATGGAATTGAAAATACGACAAATAACACGTCACGTATATTCAGCGTTAGAGCATTCGAAATGAATAAATATGACTAATAAATGTTAATTTGAGCAGCTAAAATCATGTCAACAGTTTTAAAATATTAATACTTTGCACTCGGCGATTTTTCCATTGCAGAACAATAGCAATTCAAAAACTTTCTATCACAAAGTCAGCGATATTTTTGAATAAGAAATCGTATACAAATTAAGACGTAGAATTATTTTACTTCGACATTCCACGCTTCGTTGGGTAATTTTAAGCTAATTAACATCGATCTATAGAATCCTAGAATTTAGATCCTAGAATTTAGAATTAAATGGCGACTGGGAGTCACTTTTCGAGTGCAAAGGTTAAATAAGAAACTGTTAGAAAATGAAATAAGAATTCTTTAGTAATTGCATCTATCGAATTAATAAGTCACTAATTTCAAATGGTATAGTAACCAATGAAAATGAAATAACCTCTCCTGCACATGATGGCTTCCTTGGTAATCTGACAATTTATTACAAAGAGTTGTATGCTTTTATCGTTATCGTTAACACTTGCCATTGAAATTTAGAATTTTAGATGAGAAATTTAGATGAAAGACTATCTTAAAATAAATATTACACCTAACTGAATCAACCTTGCTTTTATATAACTTGTCCTACATAATCATACGTTCGTCCATTTCTAATTGTTATTGCTATGTTATTATTACGAATAAGTCCCTTTTTGCTGCAACAAGTTTCTTAAATAAATACCTGTCCCTACTCGAATAATATCCTACTTTATTTGCAATATTTTCAATTTCATTAATTTTCGTTGAGCATGACTACATATTTTACGTAATATAAGCGAGTAATTTTAACGAAATATGCATTCCTACAATTACAACGCAACGAACGTTTTATTTTATTACTTTACGGATTCCTTCTCGATTGATTATTCCAAAATAGAAAAGACGGGTCACATAGTCGATTAAACCCTAACCTAAATATCCTAGCATCGAGCAACGAGAAACAAATTTATTATCGATTCATTACCATTTTTCTTTAATATTGCAAACATTTTGTTTTATCCTGTAACGAAAACACCAATTCCCATGTCAACGTTACGCAATATTAGTGGATAATCCTTCCTAAATATATCGTGCTTAATTCAGTTTTTAAAACAGCTGCACTTTCATACTCCGGTATTATGCAAATCAAGTATAATTAAATAGATACACAGCACTGAGAAATCACGTATCAGAGTGTTGAAATTATTCATTGAATTATGTCTCAGATGTATAATACCGATGCGCAGTTACCTGTGTCGATACAGTTCCATAAAATTCCAGTGCAAATAAGAAAATTATCTTCTATATCATAGAGACAGTGGGGTCGAAACGAATGCAGCATAACATAAAGAGAGAAAAGTATTCCGTTATTTTCCTGGTCGTAAAGTGGGAAAAAGGCAAGAAAAGAAATAAATATGAAGGAAGAAAAACAGAACGAAAATACGGAAAGAAATATCCATATTCATCTATATGTACATGTATTCATATTCTCACGCAAGGTCCGCCGCGTATGTAGTAGTAATTATATATGCGATGGAAAAATAACATCGACGTATCAATGCTTTCCGACTGACTACGAGGATGAAATTTCTGTCAACCGTGATCTTCGCTTGTGCTGTGATCTACTACTTCGTCTTTTATTACCACTCCGTAACGACGAGCACGACTCGGTATAAGAACGTCTATGGCACCACGAACTTCAATACCACATGGGCAGAAAACCTGATTGATAGTATAAAAGGTATCTTCAAGTTCTTACGTCAAGGTTACACGCACGAAAACGCCCAGCCTGATGTGACGCCGATACCTAACTCCAGCTACGACTTCGTCGTGATAGGCGCCGGGACAGCTGGAGCAACGGTGGCGTCTAGACTTAGCGAGATCCCAGATCTCACGGTTCTTCTGATCGAGGCCGGGGGCGAAGAAACTACAATCATGAGCATACCCTTGATAGCTGGTTTATTACAATCCTCGGAAATAATCAACTGGAAATACGAAACGTAGTTCTGCAGAGGGATGAATAACCGCAGGTGTATGTGGCCTAAAGGGAAGGTGATGGGTGGAAGTAGCACTATAAATTACCTGATCGGTACTCGAGGCAACAAATGGGACTACGACAGGTGGGCTGAACTGGGTAACGACGGATGGGCGTACAAGGATGTGCTGAAGTACTTCAAGAAACTAGAGACCGTTCGGATCCCTGAACTAAGGAAGGACAAGAAGAATCATGGAACGGATGGTCCACTTTCGTTAGAGTATTCGATATTCCAGACACCTCTGTTAACCGCGTTCCTGGAGGCTGGCCAGGAGCTCGGTTATCCGTTGGTGGATTACAACGGGGACACGCAGATCGGTTTCTCGCCGATACAAGCGACTATGTACAAAAGCTCCCGCATGAGCAGCAATAGAGCCTACCTAGTTGGCAAACTTCGAAGCAATCTCCACGTGACCAAGTGGACCATGGTGCACAAGATACTGATAGACGAGCAGAGTAAACGTGCTATCGGAGTGGAGATGGAGAAAGGAAATCGTCGTTTCTCGGTGTTCGCGAAGAAAGAGGTGATCCTGTGCGCTGGAGCGATAGGCTCCCCTCAGTTGTTGATGTTGTCCGGAATAGGACCCGCGAATCATTTGACAGAATTAGGTATAAAAGTAACGAAGGATGCGAGAGTTGGTGACAATTTGATGGATCACGTAATGTTTAGTGGGATCACATTCAGTATCAAGGAACCAGTGAGCGTAATCTTTAACGAAGTAATAAACCCTTTCAAACCGTTCCTGAAAGACTACTTACTGCATAAAAAGGGACCAGTAACGTTGCCTGGTGGATGCGAAGGGATAGCATTCGTGGACACAAATGACCCGACGAATAGAGACGGTCTTCCGGATATAGAGATGATTAGTTTGAGCTGTACAAGCTACGCTAACAATGCTGTAGTGAAAAATTTTGGGTATTTTGGGGAGATAAAAGATAAAATCGATCAGATGTACAATATGCAAGGATGGCAAATAATTCCGGTACTACTACGTCCAAAGAGTCGAGGTTGGATAAGACTAAAGTCCAAGGACGTTAACGTGAAACCAAAGATAATTTCCAATTATCTGAGTCATCCGGATGACATTAAGGTTTTGCTGAGGGGGATCAGAATAGCCTATAGTTTCGGTGAGTCGAAGGCGTTTAAGAAATTTGGTTCAGAGTTCTATAATAAAACGATATCCGAGTGTGAGAAGTATCAGTTCGACACTGACGATTATTGGATGTGCTTCTTAAGAATGGAGACACTCACTTTATATCACTATAGCGGGACCTGCAAAATGGGACCAGAGAGCGACCCTACTGCCGTCGTCGATCCAACATTGAAGGTACGGTACAATAATACGATAAAATATTGCAATACAATAAGATACAATTACATTTTCATTTTTAATGCTACAATCACCGACCTGTAATTTATACTCAAATCTGGCGAATAATATTTACTGAGATGGTATAATGAAAACAAATAAATTTATTTATATACAGTAGCTCGCGAAAACACTTTCAAAAGAATTCTCTGCCCCAAAAATCTTGATTTTTATGAAAATTTGCGTCAAGTATAACGAGTTACATGTGCTATCATTTTTTCATTGACAGAAAATCACTCTGACGGGGTAAAATCAAAAACTAAAATTTTAACAATGTTTCTGCTCCTTAAACGAGATCTCATGCAGAGTAATTTTTACTATAGAGTAACAGAGCACCAAGAATTATAGATTTTTTATTCAAAAATAGTTTTTCCTTATCTCGTATCGTTATGCAGTTACATTTAAGAAAACAGAAATCGAACTGTAACTTTGAGTAACTTCACTCACGAAAGCAAAATCTGCAAATAAAGAAAATTGAGCCACGTGTATCCCGTTATGCTTAACACATTGAGTGACGACATATGAAACATTTAACACTAGAAGTACCAACCCAGTGAAAATGAATGGTCCCAGAATTTTCCTTTTTGCAATCACCGAACACATACGCCTGCTTTAAGAATAAAATTAATATCAACTCGTATTAAGAAAGAACTGTAATCAATATATTCACTCATATTCATCGTATTGCTGAAATTACTATAATCTGTGCACGTTATAGTTAGGTACTCATTAAAGATCGGTAGTTCTAGTGTTAAAGCCTGAGCACCGACCTCGTTCGCTTGTTTCCGAACAACGAGTAGCTAAAGAAAATATTTAAACTTATACATTTCCTTAAAATACTATATTTGGAATGCAAATTCGTCATTCTATGGACATTTCGCTATTACTAGAATCATCGGAATCACTCGAATATTGTAATGGAACAGTTCTTGATATTCTCCTTGGACCCAAATCGCTATCACTGTCCTCGACTCGTATGTCAGAATCTTCTGAATGTATCGAATAATCTGATAGAGGGTGAGCAATATATTCGTTAGAAACTTCACTCATATTACATGGGTAAAAAGTTACAGAATAATAAGAATTATTATATTGTTCAAGGAAAAGCGTGAATCTACGAAAGAGGTACTAACTAAGGAATACACTGCTCGAGATTGATTCTTGCTTTTATCGTTTCTGAACCGTCGTATATGTTTTATGTTCGGAGTATAACACATGCAGGTTGTCGTAAACGTGACAAGTGAATACAAATTGACGTGTAAGACATCCATACAAGCAAAAAAAGATCGTCGTCATTGTGAGGGCGAGAGTCAAGTGACAATCTTACAAACCTGCATTATGGCTCAAGGGACAGACGCAGAAATCCGCGTTTTCATGGGACCGGTGCTGAAGGTGTCAGCACGCACACAAACTTTCATTAAAATCAGAACTTTTCAGTTAGAATACTGTATATAATATTATGTATAAATAATTAATTTTATTTCACGTATGTCGCTATAGAAAGTAACGTTAACTTTTCTAAAAGTCTGACAATAATAATTTTGATAAATTTGGTAATTCGAATCCTAATTCTATTTAAGACTATTTGTTTCATTTTCTGTTTTATTTCTTGTTTCATTGGTGATGGAATATAAAAGTAACTTAAAATATGAATGATGTACGAAGGATGCAATAATGAAGGATGTATCCGAATTTTGAATTTTATTCGAGTTAATATAGCTAACGATATTGCGACGGAAATTAACGATCGAATAATACATTGCTCTGATAAATTTCATTTCAGGAAGCAATAGTAGGATAAAACGTACGTTAACGAGAACGAAATGAAATGTTGCAGGTAATTGGCATCAAAGGATTACGAGTGGTTGATACTTCCATAATGCCAGAAATTCCATCAGGACATACGAATATTCCAACATACATGATAGCGGAAAAATTATCAGACATGATCAAAAACGAATGGGGATATACGAATAATTCAACTGAATTTTGATCTCTTCAATTCTGACTTTGGAATACTTTAAAGTAGAAAGAAAGGAAGCCAGAAAGAAAAACAAGCTGCCTGTATTCTTGAATCTCACATTGATCTTTTTCTGGCTTCTTTTTTCTTTCCTTTATTCTGACAAGGAAGTTTGAGGTATGAATTCATGCATAGTCATTTATAATTTGTGAAATGTAATTATATGTTGTATTTTCGAATTTACATTGCGGTTGAAACGCATCACATAAATATCAATCATCAATAAAACGTTCCTAAACATTAATAATTAATGCTTTTTTTTTAAAGAACACGTAGGATAATTATAATTTTCTATGTACTATGGCCAAAGAAGATATTTACGTAACGATTAAACGACCTCGTTTCTTCAAATACAGCGTGTAATGCGACTTAATTAAATTTAAATTTAATTTAATAATTAACAAATTAATTGTAAGTTATAAACCGAATAATTAAACAATTCGAAACTTCGTATACACATTTTGTACAACTTCCAAAATGATGGAAAAATAAAACAGAAATCATTTTTTAATTTACTCTCCAACGAAGCAACCTGCAGAAAAATTCAATTTCCCTATACGCAAATATACCTGACAATTTTATTGTTAAAAGAAGAATGATTGAAGTATCGCATAAATATTATTAACTTTTGTTTATGTAATAGTAGACCGCTTTTAAAATGACGGAAACACATTTAAATAAATAATTTCACGGATTTTTATCTGAAAATCTGAATGAATTGAAATATTTAGAAGAAACGATAGGTAAGTTTCAACGCTTGGAACGATAAAACGAATCACCTATTGCGAACGATGCATTACACGTGCCGTTCGATCGATTTCGTATAACATCACCGGCGTGTTTAAACAAGAAATCATTCTTGACACCTTCTACATAGTGCATTTGTTTGTGCAACAGTGAAACGAGGCCACCTCAAACGAGGTTCGCAGAAGAACCGCATCCCGTATTATCGATATTTTCTATTTGACTTGTTTCACGTGTTCACAGAGTCTTGAACGATATATCACGTATCCCAGGAATCAGTGCTTTAACTCTAATGACTATAAATTTAGAAACGAATACTATTGTTGCGACGTCCTCGCCGTCCTTTTTGAGGATCAACAAATTATAAAACAAGACATCAGAGAAGTCGAAGACATAAGACGATTTGGAGAAATCAAACAGAACACATCAGATGACGTTAGCGAGAATTCGCACAGAAAACATCAGACGGTTTTGGGGCTCAGACAAGACAAATCAGACGTGAACTAGAGCTCGAAGGCGTAAGACGGTATTGAGGAGTCAAAGACGTAAAACGGTAGTTGAGAGAAAACGAGAAGACAGAAAACGGGAGACGAAAGACAAGACGAGAAACGGCAGAGGCAGAGACGATACAGCATACACACCAATCACACATAAACAAATCATAATCGTGTAATAAAGTGTAAATACAACCAAGACAAACTGCGCTTTATTACAACACCTAAGTGCTCAGTGTCTCGTGAAGATTCGGCACACTGAGAAAAGGGGCAACAAAAGTATACCATCGCTGCCCCCTCAGCAATGATGAGCTTCAGTCACCATTTGATAAAATTTGGAAAATCGATATTAATTAAAATATCAAATTCAGGTATCGAAATCAAATAATTTGACAATTCTATTATTACACAATTCTTTAATTACTGTGTCAATTTTTTAATAGAGAATCTTTGAATTTCTACTCTTCTCTAGTCAAAAAATCGTCGAGTGCAAAGGATTAATATTTCATCCACCACTAACAAATTCAACAAACCTTTTCTCTCTTCAAAAATATATCTTCTAATACCATATATAAAATTCTACATCGATTATAAAATATTCCCTTTCGAATTTGACACTGTCAATTTCCTACTCGTTTCCCATTCATTTAAACAATCCTTAAACTATACTATTTGATTTACTTTAATTTCTTATTTATCACTGTTTTTCATTACCTCTCTTTCGAATCTTTGTTACGTGCCTTTGTACGCTGGTGGGTTACTCCCTTCCGAATTTAAATGAATAAATAAATCACACGTGAAATTCAGGTACTGTTATGCATCCCATGAATCAGACAGAAAGGAAGTACGGGACGACGAATGGAAGACACACGAGAAGGGGTAGACATAGTCCGAGGGACCATTACTTAACCGCTATAAGTATTGTGTGAACACGCCACGAGAAAGCGCATTTCTCTAGTGGATCTCGAAGTGGAAAGTGGACACGGTGCAAGTTAAGAAGTAGGTTTCGGCAGTCTGGACGGATCCACGGTTCCAGTTCCTCGAGCACGAGACGGAAGTCGCTTGTTACATGGCTGCCACCGGACGATTATGGTAATAACTATTACGATCAAACGGATACTTGTTCGTGGTCTGTTGCGATAACACATGATGCGAACGTGTGACACGGAGAGCAAGGAATTCGAAGTATGAACGAAGTTTACGGTTGAAGATCGATTTTCTGGCTTTATCGCCTGTTTCTATACTTTATTTTCGTTTCTGCATCCAGTGAGAGTGAAAAAAGAAAGTTGGGTTTGCAGTGACGTAACCTTTAATCTTTAATCATGCGGTAGCGTGGTTTCATCGTTAATTTAATGTTGCGTTTGTGAGATTCCAGAATAATTATGTAACTTGAAATTCAGCAATTTGGACTTTAGATTTGGGTTTCGACGAGAAAGTGATTCTGGAGATCATACTTTGCGATACGTAATATTTACGCGTCGAATGGGGTGTGATTCTTCATTGTACAATGAGAAGGAAAGAGGAATATTTTTGAAATGTACTTTAGGTTAGAAGCAAATCAGAAATTAAAGTAACTTGCTAATCTAGAGAGAATGAAATTGATATTGTTACATAAAAGTTGCTAGGATTAAAAAGAAGAAATTTTTGGGGGAATGCTAACTAATTATTACAGGGGATTATACCTTTTATCATTTAAAATTCCATTACCAAAATCGTACTACGTAACACAGTCGTTAAACGAATGAAAATGTACAGCAACTCGTTCATACGTGACCTACATGCACAAACGTAATCAGATGTAATAGTGAAAACACAGGTGGTTGTTTCAACGATAACAAAACTCATTAATATCTACTAGCCAGTGATAGTAAATAATGCAAGTACAGATTATCTGTATATCGATTACTCTATTCGAAGAAAATTCAAGTATATAAGAATGTCAACACGTTCTCGTTGCAAGCAAATAATTTTTAAAAGGTACTCGAAAATTATTGAACTATCATAGTATCGAAATATGAAAATATCAACTAATATCATCAACGATACCGAGAAATTTGAATATTACAATATTAAAACATCGAAGCATCGAAAGATGAATTAAAAAATCCCAAATCTAGCTAATGAACTGTGGAAATACCGAAGAAAAATTTGTTAAATGGAAATATGAAAATGTCAACTGAAAGATGATAAAACTGAAGTATCGAAATATCGATGGAGAAATTGAAATATTAAAATACTGAATTTAAATGAAATTAATTTAAATGAAAATATTCTAAAATCTAACTAACAAACTATCGAAGAGAATAGAAATATCGAAGTATCGATGATCGAAACGTTAAAGTATGAGTCAAAAAATCGTAACACGAAAATATAGAAGAATTGAAAGATAAATATCCCAAAGAATCGAATGATTCGAGTAATATTTCCATATAAAACACATAATTATTCACAAAGAAAACATATTCCTTTTTTCCAGAATGATGGCTGGTTTCCTCAAACAATTGCTGCTATTATCACTAGCGACATCTCTGGGCGAAACTCAATCGTTTCTAGACGCAATAAAGAGTTACAGGCCTTCGTCGAAAGTTTTGAATAGAATCAACCCGAACAACAAGAGGTACGACTTCATCGTGGTTGGTGCTGGATCAGCTGGGTCGGTGTTGGCTAATCGGCTGTCAGAGAACAAGGAATGGAATATCCTTCTTCTGGAGGCTGGAGGAGTCGAGACCCTGCTTCACCAAGTCCCCATCCTAGTTGGTTACCTCCAATTATCCAGCTTTAACTGGGGTTACAAGGTGGAACCCCAGCAGAATGCCTGTTTGGGTATGATCAATAAACAATGTTCCTGGCCGCGAGGAAAATCTTTGGGTGGCACGAGCACCCTCAATTACATGATCCACACTCGGGGAAACAGGCTAGATTACGATATATGGGCTGCACTAGGGAACGAGGGCTGGTCATACAACGATGTCCTGCAATATTTCAAGAAGAGCGAGAGATTCGATGTTCCAGGTGAGAAAATTCACCCTCTTTTTCCAATTTCATAAAACTATTCATACCATAGAATAAACAGAAAAGTCTACTTTCAAAGTAGCCAACTGATTCGTTCAATTTCCAAGTCACTCGTATACCACGTAAATTCGCGAAGGAAAGAAAAGACGTTAAAGTCAGGTTGACGTAAGTCACTGGCGATTGTGGGTCAAGAAATGAAATATTTTAGAATAAGAATTTCTGACTAGCTCGTACACACGTAGGTATAAAATAGGGGTTAAAGACAAAGCATCGTTTACACGAAAAGAGACGGGCAGATGGCAAAATGGAATTGACATAAATCAGCTAGTCACGAAATTAAAGCTCCATGCACGCACTCCGTGACTATAATGAAACGTATTCGTGTTCAGGCATCAAGAACTCCTCGTACCACGGGGACAAAGGCTACTTGTGCGTGGAGCACGTGCCGTACCACACCGAACTGGCGAAAGCATTCATGAAAGCGGGCATGCAACTCGGCTACGAGATCGTGGACTACAACGGCGAAGACCAAATTGGATTCTCGTATATTCAAGCGAACATGGACAAAGGGACACGATGTAGCGCCTCGAAAGCGTACCTGCGTGTCGACAGGCCGAATCTGAACATCGTGACCGGGGCGCATGTAACCAAGATTCTGATAGACGAGAGCAACAAACGAGTTTACGGTGTCGAGTACGCGGAGAACAAGCAACGCAAGAGAGTGTTCTGTTCTAAAGAGGTTATCCTCTCAGCGGGTACCATAGACTCTGCCAAGCTGTTAATGCTATCAGGGATAGGTCCGAGGGATCACTTGGAGGAACTGGACATCAAAGTGATTCAAGATTTGAAAGTAGGCTACCACATGTACGAGCACGTAGGGTTCTTAGGCCTGACGTTCATGGTGAATCAGTCTGTAGCGCTATTGCAAAGCAGACTGGCCAGGCCTGGTGTCTTCGTGCAATACTTCCTGAACAGAAGCGGCCTGATGTCGCTGCCAGGTGGAGCAGAGGCACTGGCGTTCATCAGAACCAAGTACGCGACTGATAGCAGACCTGACGTGGAACTGTTATTCGCCTCTGGGTCCCTGCACTCGGATGGAGGCGTGCCCCTGAAGAAGGCGCTCCGGATATCCGACGAATTGTACAACACTGTGTACAAACCGATCGAGAATCAAGACGCTTGGTCTATCTGGCCTATCGTGCAGAACCCTCGGAGCATTGGCAGACTTACTCTGAAATCCAAGGACCCGCTCGAGCCTGCCAGGTTAGAGCCTAATTTCTTCACCCACCCGGCTGATCTGGAGATTATTTTAGAGGGTCTTAAACACGCTGTCAATATATCCAAGACCGAACCGTTTCAGAAGTACGGTAGCAGACTGCATGATATAAAGATCCCAGGTTGTGCCACGTTCGAGTTTGCCACTGATGACTATTGGAGGTGTGCCATCAGGCACCTGCCCTCGATGATGAATCACGAAATAGGGACGGTCAAGATGGGACCTAAGAGCGACATGGACGCTGTCGTGGATCCACAGTTGAGGGTGTATGGTGTCCAAGGATTGAGAGTGGCGGATGGGTCTATTATGCCAATTATGCCTACGGGTCACGTGAATGCGGGCATTTTTATGATAGGCGAGAAAGCTGCTGATATGATCAAACGAGCTTGGCAATGATCGGTAAGAAAATTAGGCTAATTATCAGACGATACTAATCTCGGTGAATTGTTATATCTCGAAAATGTTCATATAATGTTACTTGTGAAATAACATTTTTTAGAATGGATGTGTCAAAGGGAGACAAGTCAGATTTCCTCTAGAGGAAATCTGAGTGTGAATCTTCCACAACCTTTACGGAATGTTTGGAGGCTGAAGAATAACGAGATGACAGATTTATTTGTTGTGTATTATTTTGCAGTCGATTTTAAGCTTATTATAGCCCTCTGTTGAATGCGAGATTGCAATTGTTAGATAAGATATGGTTGTTAATTTTTGTTATCGTGACATTTTATACCTAACTGTTAGTATGGAGGCAAAAATTTTCGCTGACACGAAGAATTGTAATTTCCTGCGAACAAACTTGATGAACAAATTTTTGTTCCGAATCGATGTTTCATTTCTATTTTATTTTACTCTTGTTCGATGTTTCGCTGTCGATTTATTCGATTTATTAATTGTATCTCTATGTGTGATTGCGTTGCACAAATTTGTACATGCGCTATACAAATAAACATCGAATGATAATTAAATGGCGAATTGAAAATTCAGCTACGAGATGTTAAAGTAAATGAGGAAAATTTACGATATTTTATTTGTGGTTGCTAAAGAAAATTAGGAGAAAACATCGTCGCGCGGGAAAGCAATATCACAATCATTTGTGATAAGATTAACATTTAATATGAAACAATGAACACGAAAATAAACTTGCTATTAATTCTTTGAAAGCAAATTACGATAACCTTCTGATATTCTTCGTGACGATTATTTTGACCTGTTATTTGAAATTAATTCAGGGTAATATTTTCTAAAAGTAATAAAAGATGACAAATGCAGTGTATTCTTGCGTTTCCCCGTAATACTAATATCTCGATCTATGGGTTGACGTATGAGCTCGATATTTCTTTCATCGCATGACACGAAACAAGAAATGACTCATACTCGAATGGGAATATTGTGCAAAAATGTAACGACATATCGATCTTGTGGAAAAGAAAACAAACCGTTGCATTTTACGCAGAGGAAAATTATTTTCCGAGTATGCCAGCTAGTACATACCATCAGGATTTATTTGTAAAATATGAAACTCCATCTTGAAATAACCTACACCACGAATATAAATTCTTCATCAACGCGTTCGATTTCATTGCAGAATTATTTGTTACACTTTATGATAAATGTTTTATTTTTATAATAAAATACTTTTATTATAAAAATAAATAAAAATTGTATTTACTTTAATATTAACTTTAATTCTTTATTTATTTACTGAAATATTTAGTTTATTACAAAAATAAAAATAAATATTTTATTTTTATAATAACAAACTTTTACTATACTCCCACATTAATTAAAAATCTATTTCAGTACAACACCCTATTTTAGATATAGCAAAGTGTATAAAATAAAAATAATTGTCGAAAAAATTGTCTAGCCTAATGTCAAGAATGAAAAGTGAAAATGTTAAACAATTGTAGATCACTGTGTTTACAAACAAGCAATGTATCAAATATACGAGACGTCAACAAATTGAATTCTTTTCATTTAATAACTGCATTGCCTAGCATCATCAAGTGGAGAAAAGTAATTTTGCTTCGTTAGTTAGATAGGAGATAAATAATTTGCATAAAGAGTCACATCCATCAGCTGGCCCAAATCGCTGTTCGTTTCGGTAAAAGAGAAGTTTCTGTGTAAAGGCATACGACAGATTCATCATCGATGACGTAAATACAAGGAAATGAGTCATACTTCTCCTTTATTAAATGAGATATACTTCCGCGAAAAATTGTGAAAAAAAATCGTAAAAATCTAAAACTAAAGAAACTAACATTTATTTAAGATTGTTTTAACTACCTCGTATTTTCAAAACCTGTGAAAACCAGATAAAAAACTAATTTTTTAAAGGAACACTAAGTATGGGAATATAGTAACTAAGTTACTATAACTAACTAATATAACTATAGTAAATGTAGAAATTCTAACATTTTTATTTGCAAATTTTTATTTATAATAAACGATTAGCTATTTTGCAAATGCATAAAAAGAAAATATGCATTTTTGTGTGAATATTTTACACTAGAGACATCTATCTGGATTTATTGTGACCATGAGATTGTTATCTGCCATAAATGACAGAGGAAGATGAAATTGAAAGGTATAAACACGTCTGGTTTATGTGTAAGAATTTAATAAGAAGGTTATGTAACTCTGTATTGCATATATTGAGGAAAATACGTCTCTTAATAACGTACACAATTGTGATTTATATGTGAATAGTGGTGGAACATTATGTATGCGAGGAATTTATTCACTAAAACAATTATCAATCTTTAAGCTAACAAATATTTATCCTACCAACACCATGAACCTACTTCTAATGGCCTGAGTTAAACTATACATGCCTACATGTGAGATGATTAATTTCACCTTGAGGTTATTTAACCTAAAGACATATTTTCAACAGATGTAAAAGTTTTAGTATTTTTTATAAAATTAATATTCTAATTTAACGACTTGAAATATCTTTTATACAATAAAACAATTAAATTAATATTTCTACACTTGTAATATATTTTATAAACTATTGCTTATTTTTATTATTGCATAATAGATATAGGATTAGTCGTGTTATTGTTAATTATTTGTCTCATACTACAAACTACTAATTCCGATAGATTTTTAATATTACAAAATAGACAAGATTGCCTATAGCGTGCGTTCCTTGTATTGTATCAAATGAATAGCTTCTTACACATGCACAAACTGAGAAATGTCACTATGCGTGAAACCAACATACTAAACTGATACTGACAAGGTCAGTATTCTGTCAGATGATTCGAGTAAATTGTTTGATTGATTTCAACGGCGCATAAATCTTATACACAAAACATACCGAAATAGTCTCTTAGAATTTGGGGTTATTGAAAGGTTAATGTTATGTTTCGCAAAACCGGCATTCGAAGCTTTCGGAAAGAATCAAGCGTGGCAGCTCTAGGTTAATATATTGCACCGCTTGACTGAGTCATAGGAAATATGTATTTTTTATTTATCTGCATACCTGATACGACGAGAGCTTCGTTTGGACCACAAGTATGAACGTTTCCCATTGTCAGATTAACTTTTTCCTAATGAAGATGCAACAACAAACCGGCACAAGCAAACAACCAGCACTAACACGATTACCACTGACACTAATCTATGGAATAAATTGCTAGTTATGAGCTACGGATTATTTCAAAAACCCCGGTAAATCATTAATACATGCAACAACCCGTGTTAGTCGCGCGTCGTAAAGTTACGATGTTACTCAAAGCCACTACCCAAAATTATTTGTAGCTTTTGCAAAACCCTAGCTCGCAGCGCTACCAACCTATGAACTTGCATGTATAGCGACATCTCTTCAAAGATATCTTTTCTACATTAAAATGCTTATTTTATAATTACGTTGCATTTACTTTGAGAAAATTAGATGAATAATATTTTAATCATAATTATCTTATTAAAACTTATAAAAAAAAAAAATGGAAAGATGTGTTTGTATAATATCGGAAATGTGCCATTTTTATGTCTGTATTTTTAATACGTACAGACTTTATTATAAAATGAATTTGGCTTAATAACTTCATCATTTCTAATGAAGAATTATTGATTAAAAGTTCAAAAAATAGCACATTCGATTTGAATTTGTTTTTAGATTAAAATATTATACACTGTCTCTGTTTCTTATTTAATCATAAGAATAAAATTTTCTTACTCAGTAATAAAGATTTAATGTATAGAATAGAAAACAATATATGTTGAGAATATTGTTTAACATAGTTATACCTTTTTTCTGCATATTGCTTCAACATTTTGTTGCATATTGTGGTAGTACTGTTTAAACATTTCACTCAGGTGAAAGCAGTACGATATCTTGAGAATGCAACACAACATAACCTTTAATGTTTGATAGTTCAAACATTGTTTTGCTCTATTCTTATATAGTATTTAAAATATAATAAGTCGAATATAATCACAATCGTTACGAATTTGGTTTAGATAAAGCATTAATAATCATTGACAAAATGTCGGAAGACGAAGTAGAAAGTTTTGAAATTACGGATTACGACCTTGAGAATGAATTCAACATTAATCGCCCTAGGCGTAAATTAACAAAGAAACAACAAATGCTTGGTAAATATTTTATTGTAATAATTATTACATTTTTTCAAAGTACCTAATTGATCTTTTTCCCCCTAATACAAATTTCAACAGTTAATCCAAACATTGTTGTTCCAGGTATTTGGGCAGATGATAGCGATGAAGATGAATTATCTGCTAGACCATCATTTAAAACATTTGACAAAGGACCAAAAAATTATACAACTCCGGTAAACTTTGTAGCAGGAGGTATTCAACAAGCTGGGAAACCAAAAGAGGAAACAGATGATAAAGATGACGATGAAAGTGATAATGATAATAAGTTGCAAAGAGAATTTCCAAATAGTTCAAGGTATACTTCAAATAAGAGTTTCAGAAATATTTATTTATTTAACGTTATGATTCTAATAATCTATAAGACATTTTTTTAACTGTAGTTCTGAAGATGAAAGACCAAGTTCTTTGCATCAACGTGCATCATTTTCGCTAAATACAGATGGAGATATAGCAGGTTTACGTAAAAAGAAACAAAAAGTAAATCCTTTATTAATGCAAAGTGGAATGGGTAGTTGGGAAGTATATACAAAAGGTATAGGAGCTAAGTTGCTACTGCAGGTACATATTAAATAATTGTTCTTTTGATAGTATTGTACAAATATACTTGTATTCATTAATTTGCTTATGTTTAGATGGGCTTCGAACCTGGAAAAGGATTAGGTAAACAGTTGCAAGGTATAAGTGCTCCAGTAGAAGCACATCTGAGGAAAGGTAGGGGTGCAATTGGTGCTTATGGCCCAGAGAAAGCTCCAAAAGTTCCGGAAAAGAAGAAAGATGAAGAAACAGAAGAAGGAAAAGAATCCAAGACTAAGTTATCACAGTGGAGGAAAGGAGATGGAAGTATTGCTAAGAAAAAAGTTAATTATGTGTATAGAAGTGTAGATCAAGTTTTGGAAGATGGAAAATTAAAACCTAATAAAAAAGTGAGAATATCCAATGAAATGAGTAGGGTTAAAGTCATAGATATGACTGGACCAGAACAGAGAATTCTTAGTGGATATCATGCGATAGCTGGAGGTCAACAACGACCTGATGAAAATATTGTTGTCAGTGATAAAAAGGCTAAAGTTAACTTTGAACTGCCAGAGCTTCAGCATAATTTAAATATACTTGTGGATATGTGTGAGCAAAATATTATACAAAATGATAGAAGGACTCGACACTTGAGTGATAGGATGGTTGCATTGGAAGCAGAGAAGAAAAATTTGTCTAAAGTTATAGATCAACATAGTCAGTTAATAGACACTTTAGAAAATGTTCTTGCAATTGTAGATAGATTGATGGATGAAACAAACCAATTAACATTACAAGAAACAGCAGATGCTTTCAAAGATTTACAAGATAAATATTATGAGGAATATAAGATGTACGAACTTGGTGAATTAGCTAGCAGTTTTGTTGGCCTAAAAATAAAAGATTGTCTAATTAGTTGGAATCCATTAATGCAACCAAAGCAACCTATCAAATTGTTTGAACAGTGGAAAAGTATTTTAGAAAGTGGTATCACTACTCTTCAGACAAGAACCATGCACCCATATGATCATCTTGTTTGGAATTCATGGATGCCATCAATTAGAGGAGCTATACAGTAAATATTTTATTTTGCAGTACATTAGATCATTAATATACTACATATTCTATAATCTTTACTACTTTCTTATAGACAGTGGACATGTAGACAACCAGAACCACTAATTGAATTAATAGAATATTGGATGCCATTACTTCCAAGTTGGATATTAGAAAATATTTTAGATATGCTAGTTCTTCCTAAACTTACCTTGGAAGTAGAAGAATGGAATCCCCTTACAGATACAGTGCCTATTCACACATGGATTCACCCTTGGTTACCACTTTTAAGTAAGTTTAGAGAATTTATTATTGATTAAATTTTAGAGTATGAAAAATTGAAATCAACAATATTATATCATTATTGTTATTGTTGTTGTTATTATTATAGGAAATCGTTTGGATACGTTAATATATCCAATAATACGTCGTAAACTAGGATCTGCATTAGGTGGGTGGCACCCGTCTGATAGATCTGCTAGACTAATGTTACAACCATGGTCTAACGTTTTCGCAAAAGGAGATATGGAAGCATTTCTAGTAAAGAATATCATTCCAAAACTACAAATAGCACTTTCAGAATTTGTTATAAACCCTCATCAACAGCACTTAGACCAATGGAATTGGGTATATGAATGGAAGGAATTGATTCCCTGCCATATAATGGCAGGGTTGCTGGACAAATTCTTTTTCCCTAAGTGGTTACAAGTTTTGGCTCTTTGGTTAAATCATTCCCCTAACTATGACCAAGTTACAAATTGGTATATGGGATGGAAAAGTATGTTGAGTGAAAAATTATTGGTTGAACCGTTAGTAAAAGGTAAATATTCAATACAAACTGTTCAATTTATACTAATAAAAAAGGTCAAATTTATATTTATACGTTTATTACATGATTTACAGAACACTTCAAGAAAGCGTTAGAGATGATGAATAGAGCAGTTTCCGTGCCGCAAAGTCATCAACCAGGTGCGATGGAACAAGTTTCGTATTTAACGAGTTTAGAAAGGACTCAACCTACTATGTCACAGATGCCTCCAACTGCGCAACCAAGAATGGAGGTATGAATTTGTTTACCAATGTTATATTAATAGTGTGTCAGCTTTATGTACAATAATATGGTATTCCTTTTGCAGAGACTTGCCGAAGCAGTTAGAACAGCATCACAGATACCTCAAGGTTTCAAAGACCTTGTTCAAAAGAAATGCGAGGAGAGGGGTATTTTGTTTATGCCAATACCAAATCGGTATAGGGAAGCAAAACAAGTTTACAAAGTGGGCAATGTCCAAGCTTATATAGATGGCAACGTTTTATTTGTTTGTCATAATGGTATAAATTGGATGCCAACCCACCTAAATGCTTTGTTAGATATGTCTGAACTCTAGAAAGCTATAATTCAAATTCAATATGTAATTAACGTTTAATCGCATACCGATTTATCTTGTACATATGCTGTAAAATAACTAAGATGTGACGCTAAAAAATTGCATTGGACGAAGTGCATAGTCGATAAAATTGATTATCATATTTTGTACGACTTATGCTGTATAATAAATTATTATACTAGCATATTCATACACACATATCTGAATTTATTGTAATTTATTGTAAAGGTTTTCCTTTATATTCTCTCTTTCTCTCTCTCTCTCTCTCTCTCTCTCTCTCTCTCTCTCTCTCTCTCTCTCTCCCCCTCATCTACTCCATTTCTTATATGGGAAAATATAATTTTTCGAAAAGTATAAAATTTCAAGAGTTAGAAGTTTAAGGAGGAACTTAGATTTAAATTTCTCTTTGAAATAATAAAATCTACTTTTCTTACTTCCATACAAATTTCATAGCTTGTCCATCTCTATAGAACTTTACAAATTATAGTTATGAAACCTTGTATTAAGGCGCTCTATCTGAAGCATTTCTACGTGTTTCGTGAGAGCAGAGAACATCTCTTTTCTTCGATGGTACTCCTGGCATTCACGTTTCACGAATGCAGTCTCGCGTTCGCGAATGTTTGTCTTATTGACCACTTCTGTTCGAAGTGGTCGAAGTCGAACGCGTGTAGGCGCCCCTGGTTATCCCACTACTGAGGCGCAGCTATAAAACTCCTCGATATGGAAAGTTGCACGTGATCCTGTGGAGTCGTACGTATGTACCTACAGAGTCGCCCAATAGGCACCGTGTATCAACCACTACGGTGTGTGCCGGTCCTGTGTACCAACCATGGGCGCCACCATACGCAAGGCACATGGCTTCACAGACTTACCCGATGGGTGCCACATATTGTGGTATGATTTCCATCAATCTTTATACAATTATAAATAAATTTTATGGAATTGTATATATGATTAATATATACATACTCGCATAAATATTTAATTTATATTTTACACAAGGATTTTCATATGACAGATAAGTAATATCTTAGTTCATAAACCTAATTTAGATATTTAAGAAACGCACAAACATAAACACGAATTAATTGTTTGATTAAACATTCACTTTGAGCTTATGTACTTTGTACAATTTTACTAGATATTTGCCACGTATTTCACCTATCTTCTGATACACTTATACACGAGTCCTTCCTTGTGTTTGTATTTATACAAAATTAGAAGAAATCGAATATGTATTACATCATCAAAGTAAAATAAAGGAAAGAGAGCGCCTACGTAGTATAATAGGATTTTTGAAGAACCACTTAGTTTTATTCAAACTATAGACCTCCTAAACACCTTCGACTTCCCCTTTCTAATTATCATAAACACATTTTCTCGGGAGAACAATTACGACAAGTGTACTTAGTCGCTACAACCTGAATACTTAACAGTTCGAACCATACAAGAAACACGAAGCTATTTTTGCATTCCTTCATTGAACCATGAGTCTGATACTAGGTGACGCCTATGGCACCACTACCAACATCCCCGTGTCTCGTACGCGTAGAGGACTGGTCCTGTAAGAGGATGGACATCTCTCGCCTACACGCCTAGCAGATCTGTGCTCTCGGGTGTCGAGAAAATTTGCATCGGATCGGAGTGTGTCTGCCTAGTAACTGGCTGCCTTTACTGCAACGGGCTCGCGCGGCCGGATTCGAGAAACGGTCCCTGCACTCTCTTTCTCTCCTTCCTTCATTGTGTGCGTGTCCACGATATGCATACGTACACGCGAGCCGAGCACTTGTCGAACTGCCGGCCAGATCTTAACGTCTATCGTACGAGAGGCAGTCGAGGTGAAGTTGTCGCCTCGCGAAGGGAAATATTGGGCCGACGACCGTTCGCGCTGGAAAAATAAAATAGCATGTACGGAAAAGGAATGAGTCGCGTGTGAGTCGCCGGGCATTCTTGGAAGTACTTGTAATATTTTTCAAGCCGCGTGTATTTCTCGCGTGAGACGTGTCGAAGATAAAGCGACCGTATGCAGATATTCGTCATCTCCTTCTAGCGGTTTCACTGGGTGACATTGAATTCCGTGATTCGTCAGACGAATACGTGAAAAAGAATATACATGTCGAAGATGTGGGGTAATATTTCTTTGTCCAGAGTTTCGTTTCTGAGTAGATCAGTGTCGAAGATTTATAGGCTATACGTACACTTGCGAATAGCGTCACCTACGTGTCAGTCGATCTATCATTACTATAAGCTATTTTTTAGTTCCAAATATCCTGATCTAGGTTGTGCTTGAATTTATCCTTATCAGAAACTTAGTAATCCATTAGAAGACTTCTTGCTGCGATAAAATGAAAATGATGAAAATGTCACTTCTTGTATATCAGAATTATGATTTATTATATGGCTGCGAGGTATCTTGGGAGTTCCAATATCTACTTTTTTATTCCTAGTTTAGAAATAAGATTGGAAAATTAGTCACAGTCTAGTTCATTAAATGTCTCCAATTATAAGTAACATTTACGATACCTACATTATAGCCTACTACGACCGTATTATCTTTATTTATTCCTATATTATACATTTATAATATTTTTATAATATATCAAATTATTTTTCATTCACAAAAAAATCCTAAATCACAATTTTGCAGAAAAGAAAATTTAATTTCCATCGTAGAGAAGAATTACTCAATTACTTTGTCATTATGGAACGTTGAAAAATGTCTGACAAATACATAACCAATTATTATCGAAATAAGATAACAAAAATTAGAGTCCATTAAATACATTGGAGGATAAATTAAAATCTGGGCCAAAAAACCAATTTGAAATGTATTATTCGAATATTTGAAGGGTTATGAGCGGTACCTACTCTCAAGATTAATACGGATTCAATTTGAAGGAAGCGAGGTTACTTGAGCGAGACAGCCACTTAATGGCAGCGCCATTGAGATTGCGCCATCGTATCTCGGTGAATGAAGTCTCCTTGATAACAGGTGAAAGAGTAAGGCTCGCCCCGTTTTCGACCCCGATGCTTTTACGTACCTCGCGAATTAAAGTTTCCTGGAACCCAGAGTAATGGCGCTCTACTTACGACCTACGTACAAATGATCCTGCACGGGTCATTGTTACGAGGAAATCTGCATACCCGAAGCCAGTTCGTTTCCCTTCCCTGTAATTTCGTTTCCACGATTAAAATTTGTCTAATAAATCTATTGATATACAACACACGGCGTAGTTATACGAAATAAAAATGGTAAAGATATGGCGCGATGATACGAATTTAATGAACGTAAGCAGAAAAAAATGGCGTTCGATTTCTACGGGTACCGTTTAGTAACAAGCATATTCCTTTTTCTCCTTTTCTGGAACTGTTTGATTTGCAAATCTAATGAGCACGTAAGATAATTCCAGGCTTGATTTAAACGTTCCATTCATTTCTGCTTCTAATCGCGAACGTACCAATTACTGACCGTTGTACAATCCGTAGTAAGACTAGGCGGTAATTAAGCTCCGTCACGATAAATTTGCAATTTCAGATATAAATTAATGCGCGAAAACAACCGTGTGCTCCTAGATATGTAACAATCGATACATATACCGGAGTGGTGTACGACATGCACGCCGAGTCGAATCGTCTTATATTAGATGCGAGTGAATTTTGAACGTGGCGTTCGATAGGTCGATTATTTATTAACGCAGCGCCATAGCAAATGCGCGGGACGTTTAAATAGTTCGTTAGAGAGGTCGACGGCCTGGAATAGGTGGTACATTCGCAGACATATGTTTTCAGCAAAACGTGATCGCGCCCAAACATTCCAATCCCACGCAAATCGCCGTCCCTAAGTCCCTCCACGAAATGCCAAGTACTCATAGAGACGGTCAAACGTCAGAACAATTTAGCGATCGTCTGGCTCGACTGGATTCGATACGGTTCCTAAATAGGTTGAAAGTTATTTATAATACCGGAACCAAAGGCTGGGACATCGATCACGCATGGGAAATCTGTGACAAAAGATAATTCCAAACGTCTTGCAAAGATATTTCTAAGTGATTGATATCGGTTCCCTAATATACTATGAATAAATAAATCTTAAGTTTACTACATGTTTATGTGGAATTAACCGGAACTAATGGTAGTTGTTACGTATTGCACAGGTATTTTAAGATAATATATTTCAGAATGTTAATTACAGATTTTGGATTGATTTAGTCGAATATTATACACTTTGAGTAACTATTTTGAATATTATTCCACGTCTGAATACTATTTGATTAGAAAATTGTAATTATTTTAAAATTTCATATCCCATTTTATTATACTTTGCATCTCCTATTTCTAATAAGAAAAATTCCTATGATTAAGCAAGCTGTTTAATCCTATTTGTGTAGTTTACATAAGTTATAGCATTCATAATGAGACTTGCGCTTCTATTCTAATTAAATGAAAAAAGCTTGCTATTAAACTAACAAAGTATATGCAAAGTTATTGTAATTTATACGCCATATAACATGTAGAGTAAGGAAGATTTTAATGTTCAACATTTCATTCTTCTCCAACGATGTTGAATAATAACACGGTTACGTATCTGGGTCGTCATCGACGAAATTATAAAGTCAAAATTTGCATAGCATCGGTCTTTTGCGAACGTGATGTAGTGCATTTTGCAAACTGGCCGATTAGGCTTATATAATACACAGATAAATTTGGTGGATGATTTACGTGACAAACTATTTCAAGGAATTAACGGACGTGTGACTTATCACCGTGTCGATCGTGGGCGTTGCGACGAGATTTGAAGACGGGGAGATTTACATGAGCTTTGCATTCTCGAACGGCAGAAAGGAACCATAATGCCACTACACTCGTATACTGTTTTGAATAATATCGCACTTAATGAAAAATACATCCCTTTTCTTTCCTTAAGATATCGCTATAGAACTTGAAAGAAGAATATTTTGGAAATACCAAGAATATTTGCTTTTGAGTATCATTCGATGATACTCATTGTTTAAGAAAAGAAAGAAATGAAGATGAAAGATGATCTTGTCTTGAGGAATGCTTCTTTTGAAAGTCAGTATTTTTAACTGATTTTGATGTCCAACTCTGTAAACGAAGGATTTGGATAAATATCAGCAGATTTAAGTATGAATCAAAATACAAATAACGTATAAATCTACAAATAAAAATATAAGAATGAATTTCTACACAGAAAATTGATTCGTCTTTTAACTAAATGATTTTATAATACATACCACTTGAGAAATTCCTAAAAGTTGAAGCATTTTGTTACAGTAACTTTCTAACCCAGGTATGATTTGTCACTATTGAATAGTAAATGTTAGAATAACTGTGAGAGCATGTACTGAAATATTGAATGTCAGTGAAAGGTTGTGATATTCTATTTAACGTAATATAAAGATCATGAGTGTAAAATATGCAATACGATTTCTATAATAAATTTTTTGGAAGTGGTAAAACGTTCATAGAATGCCCGTTAACAAGTTGAAATTGATCCTAACACACACGATTACGCCATTTTGCGATTTGATTTATTTTTCTTGGAAAATTCATGCAATTCTCGATAACATTATGCTTCCCTGTTGCAACTGGTATGCCATAAATCATGAAAATTTGAAACCGTACAAAACAACAGAAGAAAATTGCATCACTATATGATATTACTAGGTTGGCGATGGAAATAACGAACATACATGCACGCAAGCTATTGCAAGAAGTTTAATGCGAACAACGCATAATGCATATCTGTATAAGATATGCTCGACAGGCTTCCTTGAGCCTCGATCGTCATTTTGTTCTTCTTTCCGCATTATCTGAAAGGCCTCCCAGGTCGTGGCTCCTACTATAAAGTACCGAACCACTATTACTGTGTTCCATGGACGTACTTCCATGCGTTGTGTGCGCACAAGTGTCATTTATATACACTACAGAAGTGACTATTCGACGTGAAACGATAGGCGAGCCAATAGATTGTTTTAGAGGCGAACGACATTTTGTATTCTGCTTAATACATCATTGTCTTCCATTGCAACCTGTACATGAAAAATAATCTCTCTCTTATATCTATCTTTATAAAGATAATACGCAATATATAAGAATGAATCACGTTAGAAGCAAAATTAAATTTTGTATCTAAGTTTACAGTAACTAATACAAAGTCCTGATATCAACAGAATAATTATCCAATACAAGAACCAGAAAGGTAAAAATCGAATAAAATATATAGAAATGTTAAACTAGAAAATTAATTAAAAAATAATGTTCATATATCAGGAAATAATTAAAATTAACTGACTACCCTGGGGTACAGAGACTCAAATAGAATCACCCACAGGTTAGAGATCATCAAGCTTCATGACTAAGGGCATCAACAGCGTCAGCTAGACCACCACGGAGAGGAGAGACCCGAGCCAGACTACCCTGGGATCGAGACTTCAGGTAGACCTCCTTGGGGCGCAAAGAAGCCGAAGTAGACCACCCCGAAGAGATCCATGATAAATCATCCCTTTTCCGTAACATTCGAGACGGACCTTAGGAAATCATTTCAGGATTCATGACGATCGTCCTTGGAATTTTAGAATCTTAGGACTCGATGGATCACCCTAATGGATAAGAAGCATTATTCAGACCATTTACGTACAAAATATTTAAAATAGACCACCCGAGAATTTTAGATAAATTCGCATAGATATGTTTTCATAAAAATAATTATTACCATAAAATGTAAGGAAATCAAGCCAAATTACCGTATAACCAAGAGATCCAAAACAACTTACATTAAGAAACGAGGGAACTGAGTCGAATTACCTTGGCGTCCATAGGTACACGGCATATTATCACGTAGGACCCTAGCCGGACCACCAAAGGGCAATGGAGTCGAGTCAGGCTCCTCTACGAAGAAATCTGAGATGTAACATCCCCTAGGTGTAAGTGTCTTGCCTAATTACGTGAATTTTTGAGGGATATCTTAAAAAAAAACATAGCACATTAATAATTTTTGAAAATATCGATATACTTTTTATGGTTGTCATTTCATTCACAACGACACAGTGAAAATTTATATTACGCATCAACGTTAAAATAACTACATATATCATAGAAGATACGGCTATATCCTAATGTAACGAGATATTTCATCAGGAAATCGAAAGATTAACACAAGTTAACAGAAACAATATAATCTGTGAAATCCTGAGATCGTACCTCCTATACACATACACATACACATACACATATACGAATATGGTCGAATTCTGTCGCTATCATGTTACGAATACTTGTTTAGGTTAGGACGTCATTAGCGTAGAATTCCGTAAATTTAATTGCAGCCGAGTTAGCCTGACCGAAATATTACCGATAATTCGAGTGTTTTTTGCGAATGAATGAGTCAGAGGGGAAACGTTGGCATGCCACGGGTGAACGAACACCAAGAGAGCACCCGGTGTATCGAAGTGTGCAACAGGTGTGACTCGTGTATCTCCGCTGGGTACTTACGTGAATAATCCGGCTGGTCGTTTCGTTGGCAGGTGTACGTAACCGCGTTCTGTCTAGAGTCGCGTATATGTCCACGGGAAATGACGTGAACGATTGCCTTCTGCGATATTATTTCGTTGCCTGAACCACGTCTGATCAGCATGCACGAACACAAACGCCATAAATATTTTTAGAGATTCCACCGCTAGATATCGTATCGTTCGCAGACGAAAGAGTCGGTTACGTCGATTTGCGAAATATCGACCGAACGGCTAACCTCAGTCTGCGACAACTTCAGATAGATTGGATCAATCATCGACACGTAATAGCAATGGGTAAAAATCGAGGGTAAGGCTACGAATTACCATATTTGCAGGAAGCTTCAACAGAAATGTGATGTTAAAGAATTTTTTCAGGAGCAAGACATGGGAACTGATTAAAATTCCGAACAATAAGCTCAGGATCGCTGTTGATTCGTGGCACGCACCTATGAAGCAAGACGAAATGCGCGGCAAGGAGAAGAGCAAAAAGACAGGGTGATGTTCGACCGAACAATTTTCTCTGGCCCTTTAATCAAGAAGGAGGAACCCGTAACGACGTAGCGCGTAATGAGTAATGACATCTGGTCGGTACAGGGCGGGGCTAACAGGTCCCACGCGGTCTCCATGGTTATGCGTGCATGGTTCTACGTACACTAACACTATCGTCCGGTTTCTGCTCGTTTAAACACTTACGAACTCGATTTAAACGACCTCCATCCGTGCGACTGCTTCTCGTTCTCGCTGTTCGTATCGTTCGTGTAAAGCTTCGTGCAGATTTATGAGATTAAATTTATTTATGCAATGTCGGTATATGAAGTAGAGTCTCTTTCGTTATAAAAAGTTGATTAATTTAAATATTTAATTGGTATAACGGTTTAGGAACACGAACGAAAGATTTGTAAATTTATTCGAAATATGCTTAGTTAAGATACTGTACAGATTCAACGATGTCTTGCTAATTTGCTATATATTCGAATTTCTCGGTCTAACGAAACAGAAAAGTACCGTTATATCGAGAACAAAGTTGATATTCAATTTAACCTAATTCCACGATCATTGTTCTGATTTTCTCACCACATTCGTTTCAGAGTATTTCTACTCTTTCCGTCACGCCATTCTTCCAACTTACAACAAACGACCAACGCTGTGTCCCCGTGAACTTTCCACCACTTCGCGACGAAATAAGGTATTAAAAAGCATCGCCACGACAACTCGGCACGAAAGATCGAAACACACCTCGATTTTCATAGAGTTTATTAGCTAACGTAGCTCTGTTGCGTAACGGTTAGAAACGCGTAAAGCGCGATTATAAATCCATTTCATAACGCGGACTGTTAGTGCCAGATACAGACGTATACGCGTGTATATCGAAAGTGCAATATGTTCGCGTTAAAGCATCCGCCTGCTAAATACGGTATAAGCGTATCTTACAATCATACAGAGTGATACTGTTGCAGCATTTCTGCTTTGTCGCTGACGTCTGAATCGTAATTGCGTACGAAATATTATAGTCCGCGAAGAGGGATTTCCTAATACGGGCATACCATCTATGGAAAGATAAACTACCCTACATTAGGATGTCTAACATCCTCTCTAACATCTTGTACAGGAATGAGCCCGGTTGTGTAACGGTTTAATAGCAAGAACTATATTACCCGCGTAAAAGATCGAGAATATGGTCGCTCCACGCAATCCTCCGTTCGTGTTTCACGAAAACATAACTGGCCGTCCGTGTAGAGAAATATTTCTCGCCGTTTTGTATGTTAATTGACACCAGGTTGCGTTCTTAACGGCGGAATATTTTCATCGTTGGAAAAAAGACCGTATTTATCGACGATGGCTCGTAATTCGCGTCGGGGGCGGGAGGGTCCCTTGCTCGCGAGCTTCTCGGGGATCTTTGTTGCCTTTATCTGCACACCGTATTAAGGTGCGTGTTGTAAGGACATTGTAAAGTTCCTCGAACCGTGTACGAGTACAAAGAATCGATGCGTCTTAAGAATTTTCGAATTTACGTTACTACCGACTGGAGGTTGACTTTGTTGCAACTCGATATACACGAATACGCCTTAAAACACGCAACACCGTACGTTACTGCGGTTAATTTGCGTCATGTAGGAATCATGTTAAACGTTTCCACGGACAAGATATCTATGTTGGTCAAAAAGGATACGCGCGAAGGAAGGGCGAGAGACTGGTCATTACGGGCGAATAGCCGCGTCGAAGTTGTGAGAACCATGGGGCCCCGTGACGGCGTTATTAAGCAAAAATATTGCACCGTTTTCAGAGCATTAACGAACAAGTTTTACAGGGGAACGTAAACCGCTGGCCGGCTCGTATATTAAGCTGGTTTGAATGTTCTATGAACGAATACGACAAATCCGTGCTTCGGTTCTGACCTTCTTTGGCGCGACAGCGTGGGCGCATTTACTTCAGACGGAATTACAGTCTGCACTTACTCCATCTTACCTCAGTCATTTCAATATAAGTAACTGCAATCGTGAACCGTGACCGCTGGTCGTATCATCTGGTTTACGTAATTACACACGGGCACATACACGTGCGAATGCAGGTATACAGGATCTCGGATCGAGAGGTAATATGCCCGGAAGTGATCCTCGTCGTGTACGCTTGGTGGTCCTACGATTAAGGAATTTAGAATTCGTCGCGAGCATAGGAAGAAACTGGTTTTACCTGAATCGTTTTACGGTTGGAAAACGGATCGCACATTAGCCAGGACACAGCTAGAAGTTGCTGCGTTATCTCGAAACGTTATGTCGCCATCGAGGAAAGTAATAATTGCGGTTTTCGCGTTGGATCGAGAATGGAACGCTTAAGATACCCGAGGTAAGGGGTTTAGAATTTTTTACCGCTATTTTCCATTGCATTATCAGCACGTGGAAATCTTGAAATTGGTTGACATCTTAAGAACTATCGGATAGTGATACTTTAATTTACTCTACAAGGTAATTAATATGATACTACCTGTTATAGAGAACGTATAGTTGATCGATCAATTAAGAACATTTTCTTATGATAATTATAATTTATTTCGACAGATTCGTATATTTTAATTTTTATTTTTGCAGTTAACTATGTAAATATGGAACGGGGTCGAGTATCTCGATGATCAGGAACGCTGCGTTTCCAAATGGACTGATGAAATGTAATATGCGGATCATCTAAGTACAATATCATACGGAGGAAACTTGGTCAAAAGCCAGAGAATGTAAATCACGTAGATAGCTTGATCTTTCTCTACGCGGAATCGTAGCGGATATGCAAAACTAGAGTAAAGTGCCAGATGCCGTTTAGCGATTGGAATGAACGCGATTCAGACTATTACCTTCGCAGTCAATCACCCATGTTTGACTGTATTATCTACGAAGTAAGCTGCTTTCATTGGAACTTCGTATTCTTGATGCACAGTAAGATAACATAATTACGATTAAATTGCTATGGTATCAACAACGACGACAATACGAATCTCAATAGGATTAAATTTCACGTGCCAGTATTTTCGATCATTCTTTTACTATTCGAAAAGCAGCAAATTTTGAACGACACAGAGATATCTTAATTTTCATCACGTTGCTATGGAAATTATAATTTCTCTCGTGATTCTGTTTCGTAAAGGATACCATTCGAGATCTATTATCGCTGTTGCATATCAAAACCCCAATATGCCACATAATTTAAGCCTCTAATAAAAATTACTAGCGTTTTTCTTTCAGTACATTTTCTTCAACATCCTGGAGTGTTTCGATCGTATCTGCTTATCATACGTCTCATTTGTATCAAAAGGCCTATCCCCTATGTCAGGATCGAAGAAACGAACTAGAGGGCATTACATTACTCATATAGCTGGCAATAGAGTCGTAGTTTTGTTAGTTGTTCAACACGGATATCGCGTTACACGCGTAACGTCGAGTAAAAGTACAGATGCTTGAACCCTTATCGTTTATCAACTGATTTAGCCGTCGTTGAAAGAACTGTGGCACGGCAACGTGCCTTGCTTCCGCATATATAGTGGCACGCTTATCGCATATCGAAACCCTGACATAAACTACATCTCGTTCGCGAAACTCTAAACTCGCTGTTTGCATAGTTACACCGATTTTTATAACGGTGCGTTAGCATTGATATCGACGCAAGATAAATGATATCTACATTTCTCGACCCCGAGAGGCCGTTTCCTGTTTTGCAAGCAAATAACAGTTGACACATTTGCGCGTTGCAAAATTTTACAAATATATTTCGTTTCCTCATCCACTTGGCAGACCATGCTCCAGTTGCAATCGAAACACCGGCTAACACATTTTCCGCAACAATTTATTACAGCTACCGTTTATATCCTCCGCTATTTAACGTAGATTTACGCCACATTAATATAGCGATATCCGCGGGACTCCTGAAAATTTTCTCATCCGATTGCATCCTTCGTGTCGTTCACAAATCATAAACACGTCCCTGCGACAAAATTATGCGCTCACCTTTTTCACTCGTAACGCATAAATTATGAGTCAACGGTAGACCGGTTTCGGTCGAACTGCATTCGAAATCATGTCGATTTTTTACATTTTGAGTGCAAGAAAGTTAATTTCGGATATAGGATAACATTTCAGTTTCATGTATTCCTAGTAAATTCAAATCCATGTAGTATAGGTAATGATTTTATATAAGTAGGGTTAACTGTACTTGTAAATATTTTTACCTGTACTCATAAAGTAGCGAGCTTGATACTGGCAGTGTTCCATAAGATACAAATAATCTAACTTTTTGAAAGTCAAGAAGATTTCGATTCGTTGATAAATTGCGTTGAAAAATGACGAGAAATACTTGATACCAAGTTACGTGTCAGCAGTGTCTACTGAATAATAACCAAATAGAATGCCAAACACAGTTTCATCTAACCTAGCTTCACCTAGTAGAAACAAATCGTTGGTCATCGATCGTATTTCTTATCTATATATTCTTCGAGTAATAGATATTTATAATTTGAAAGTAAATACCTCTTTTGCCTTACTTTCTCGAAAGCAACGCATTCCGAAATCACGTTGATTTCATTCATTGACAGAGAAATCCGAATCAGCGTCGGAAATGTCTCCGGCGACAAGCGGTTCTCGTTCGGCGGAGCCGCCCGCGCAGTGCTTCGGGCGCGCCGAAGGGGGCCGAGGTTGGCCGAAGCCGGACGAACGCGGACGAATAGTCGGCTCGAATCGCGCTGCCGCGATGCATCGGTTCGAACGCGCGCACGGGCTGGCTGTCTCGCTTGTCTCCCTAGTGCGTCGTTCGAGGTTCGTCCTCTCTCGTTTCTCCGTTATCGCGAATCGCGACGGCGCGGCGGCGTTCGGTTTTTCGAAAATACGCGCGCTACGGCGACCCGCCGCCGACACCGGCGACGTCTCGCCACTCTCGGTGGACGTTACGACGTCACGAGGAACCTACGAACATTTTCCGCGAGTACAAGTGAGTGACTCGATAAACTCGTTGCCCGCGTGACACTTGAATACGATCGTCGACGCGCGCACGTTACCCATCGACCAACACGCGGTTCGATTGTCGTTCGTGACAGGTTCTCGCTGCGCGTTTCGATACTCGAAACTGTGTGCAAAATTTCGACACGAACGTCGTGAGTCTGTGTAGTTCGCGTGAACGTTTCGAAGGGCGCGTCGAAGGAAGGAAAACGCACGAAACACGGAAGGTGTGATATATGTGCCAATTGACAACTAACCTTTACGCGAGTGCACGCGCGTGCCGCGTGGCTATACACGACCTGAAGTTTCCGCGGCTGTACGGAGCACGCGCCGATTAGCTACAAGAGGAAGTTGTCCAGAGGAGAAGACGCGGCAAGGGGTCGTTCGTTGACAAAGTGGAAAACGCTTATTCGACCAGGCCCGTTATGGATTCCTATCCGATGGTAAGTCGTTTCATAATATTATGCTCGGTCTTCTACGAAACGTGCTAACGTGTTGACGTTATCACATTTCTCGAAATGTTTCGTGTTACTGCCGGTGGTGTCACCTTCCGTTATGTCCGCATACCAGAAAATTTCAAAGTTCGTTAATCTTTTATTCCATGACAATAAACGATACAGTGGAAAAGTTAATTTCGTTATTTCGATATTAATCTCGTAGACCACACAGGTCGTGCTACTTAATCCGATTTATAATTCGAAGTAAATTTCGATATGTCGAAATGAGCTTCGGCCGTCTAATGCACGTATAATGCCGCGTAACTACTAGGTTAGTCAAATTTCAAGCAAATTACCGACCGTTTGCTTTACCAACCGGTTTCGAGCAATGCGATCGTTAAATTTCGTCGAATCTGGCGAAGATCGATTATCGAGAGAAAATGTTACGGCGCGTTTCCACCGAATAGAGACATTTCTTATTATTGGTAGCAACCATTCGATCAAGACCTCGAGTGCTATTATGTCATCAAGCGCGATACGCACAATGGGCGTCTAAGGATCGGATATTTTCATAATCGTGAACGGAATGATAATAATGGCCGGCGTAAGTTACGGTCCCTGGAAAAGGCCATTAGCGAGCCGTGCAAATGTAGCAATTCGCGCGTCGTCGCAAAAACAAGCCGTCGTTCGGGAAATTGCGATTCATCGCGCTTAACGACCGCATTTTCATTCTTTATTTATTACTTTCTGGAACAAAGCGCTCATACTTGCAAGTCAAATTTCTTCTTTCATAGTTGCTGCCATGGACAATCATAATCTTCATTCAATGGCTCCAACTTTTAATTTTTTATTCCAATTCAATTATATCAATTAGACAGGAATAGAATAATAAATTTATAGTACTGTTTATTGTGTATAAGAAAAGCAAATTAAATAATTTTTCTCTCTGGTAGAATCTTATTGTATGGGTATAGGAGAAAGATAGAATAGCTTAGGAAATACTTCTGCAAAATTATAGCTGTTCCCTCATTTAGGTTAGGAATATTGCAAATATGTTATATTATTTATATTTATATTTAAAATATTAATATTCATAAAACAGGGTATTATATAAAGAAATGAAGTAAATGTAATTATTAAAATTAATAATTTCTTCATATGTAGATATGGTAGGTAGGGTAGGGGAAATTAATATAAAAAATAAAGAAATTAATAAATTCCAGTTTATTTTATACTAAATTAGTACTACGCATCGTAAATATAATTCAACATCCTACAATATTTTTCAAAACACAGGAAGAACTCTCCAGCCGCGTCTCCGACTTCCAAATTTGAATAACCCAACTTTCAAGGACTAGGATATCATCTTCCTTCTCCAAATACAAACTTCGAAGAGGCAGGTATAACCAGTATGACGGCGGATTATTTTGTTTTTGCATAACCGTTTATAAGCGAATCAGATCGGAAACGTTTGAAATGAAATATTTTAGCAAAGAATTTGCGGAATTCCAAATAAATGTACATCCAGTGCGTTTACTCTTTGCAGAAATATTCGCTGTAAATCGCGTAAAATTTTCCACGCGCCGAGCCAGGATCCCCGGAACGGTCAAGATTAAGGTGATTTATTCCCGTGACGAAAACTCTCCGGGGGGAGCAATGCAATTAATTGCAAAATTATCGCCACATCTTTGTAACGTTGCTCGTAATAAGGCAGATAAATCGGAGGAGCAGAACGCGAGGTAAAATCGTGCTGCAAGTTGCGGCAACTACCGCAGATGAGCTTCTCCGGATTGAGCCGCGAGATAATGATCTTTCCACGGTGTTATCTTGATCCTCGCGTATTCCATGCCAGAGAATGCATTCAAAGTTCCAATTTCGTACAAATTATCGACTTCCCAGCGCCGATTTCGTCGCGGGCACGGGTTACGCGTGTATTTCTCGAGTTCTTAAAATCTGGCTTTAACACGGAATTAAAATTGTGTCGTTGTTCCTTCGCGATACCCTCTAGATAAGATCTCTCGATTCAACGCACGAGATTACCATCTCCTCGCCTCGTTATCTTGATCCGTGCAGGCTCGTTGCAGGAACGCTACCGAAGTTCCAGTTTTACGCAAATTATCGCCTTCCTCATCGATTTCTTCTTAATTTTATCGACAACAGGAGGTGCATATCTTTCGGTTTCTTAAGAGGTGGAACACCTCTCTTACACGGAACAAAAGTTGCATCGTCGCTCGCTGTGATCACCAACGATGAAATCTCTTGGATTTATTACGGAGATGAGGATCTCGGCAATGGTACCCCGATTCCCGTAAATCACCATCCATCTATGGGAGAATTATATTTTCGGCACTCTAATGTTCTACGAACTATTCACATTCAGGTTTGTAAGCTTTATTCTGCATCTGTTCCTTCACTTCCTAAAAGATCGTTTTTGTCTACAGAGAACAACAAGATCGGGGTTGCAGCATCGTGTTTATGTCGGGGAATTATTTTACTGGTTTCGATTAATTAATGCGTATAACAAGCACAAGCGATTTATTACATACCTGAGGTACACCTTGGAAATTACGCTGCAAAAACTGTTCAGAGTGATTAGGAAGATGAAAGCTTCGTAGACTTTCTGGAACGAGTGTTTAGAATTCGATGATTCGTGTCTTTGACTAATTGAATTATTTCCCACTCTCTTTGTTTCTGTACCGTTGGATTGAATCTTCTATTGCAAGCGACGACAAATTTATTCACGAGGTTATCTTTATACTTACGTTACATCTCTTCGTGCGTTTATTATCAGCGACTTTTAAGCTAAGTTAATTTAAACCTACTATATCGTATTTCGTGAATTTTACTGCTTATTATGCGAAACGAATTATAAATTATCATTTACCATTAACATCAACTTATTCTTTCAACAGCCCATCCGTTAACCCTGTGATATTACACCTATTCATAATCCTGTTAGCACTGTACCGAGGAACGGTATACGCCTATCATGAAAATAAGGGAAAGAAGAGTTTAGACGGTACAGGTTCAAATCCTCAGTTTACCAAGCGCAACAGATCCATCATCACGTGGAAAATAGTTGAAACAAACATTATCCTACTTCTCCGTGCAGTACTCGAGAGTTTAAGTATCGTTTAGTTTTTAAAGTCTGTTTCACTTGAAGCAGCTTTATGCTCTCTAGTGATTAAGTCTTTCCATATCAGTTGATTACCAAGCATAAGCAGGAGCAACAAAAATCCACCATCTCTTAATAATATCTTGAATAAAAATTACAGTGGAATGCTGTATTTCTTCATATAGTATTTCAGGGTTCAGAACCTTCCAAACTTTCCTTCGCATTCAACAACTTCGCATTCTTCGCTGAATAAGTCTTTCCATATCAGAAGATTATCGACCACGAGCAACAAAAGTCCATTTCTTAATAACGCATCGAAGAAAAATCGCTGTGGAATGCAGTATTCCTCCACACAGAACTTCTGGGTTCGAAACCATATACAGCTTTCGAACTTTCCTTCACTTCAGAAAATTTCACATCCTTGGTAATATCTTTATTAATACTTAGTAATATCTCAGTTAAAAAATAATTGAGAAATGCAGCACGTTTACGTAGAGTCTTCCAGGATTCTGAACTGCATAACTCTCAAACTTTCCTTCATTTTAAACAGTTTCACATTTACTAATACCCGAGTTTCTACTAATAAGTTTTTGCATAACAGAAGATCGGTTGTCAACAAAATTCTAAGGCTACTTAGTAACATTTGGAATGAAAATCATGGAAGAATGCAGCACTTTTCCCACACAGTATTCCAAAGTTCAAAGGTATAAGCTTCTAAATAGTTTCTCATTTCAAACAATTTCACACCTACTAATATGTAAAATTCCACTAATAAGTCTTTGCATAATAGAACATTACCAACCACGAGAGCTCAAGTAGCAAATTCCTATAGTCTCTCAGTAAAATCTCACACAAAAAACAATATGGAACTCAGTACTCCAGCATTGGATTGCATTCCAAGATTCAGAGGTATAAACTTTCAAATGTCTTTTTCACATCTAACAGTTTCGCACCTACTAATATCTAACTTTCTACCAATAAGTCTTTCCACGACAGAAGATTGCCAGGCATAATAACACAAAGAACAGGGTCCCTCAATGAAATCTGAAACAAAAATTAACATGGAATTCGTCACTCCTTCACAGATAAGTACCTCAGAATTCAAAGCTGTAAGCTCCCAAATTATTTTTCTCCACAAAGAATTCCACACCTAGTAATACCTACATTTTTGCTAATATGACTTTTCACAACTGCAGATAACCAAGCACAAGAACACAAGCAACACAGTTCCTTTCAGTCATCTATCAAAAATCAACACGCAATTCAATACTCCTTCACTGGATGCTGTTCCAGGGTTGAAAGCTATGCAGCTTTCAAACTACCCTCGATATCGTAAGCTGACGCATCTTGTATAATTTCGCGCGCTAACCTACGAAGAACACCCAAGGTCTGATCCATCTCGAGGTATATTTAAAAAGAAGGAATGCACGTCCGTTTGTTTCGCTTTGCTTTATTTAGCGGGACCGCGGAGAGTCACAAAGAAATTCCATGCTCGTCGAAAGGTCAAGATCGGGTTTATTTACTTCCAGTACGGAGAGCGGCGGCGGTGAACGAGGCGCAATTAATCGCGAAGCTATCGCGATATCCCCGGAAGGAGGCCCCTTTAAACCGGCAGAAATAACCGGCTGGAATTTAACGCGATACAGAATCGCGTTATTAGTCAGCGGGCGTGCTCATCCTCGGCATGGATCGGCTCACGCGAGTTCATCGAGAGCGGTGCCTCGCCTTCTATCCACGGTATATCGGCATCGACTCACCCGTCTCGAGCTTGCCCGAGCTCCGCGGCACCGGCTATTATTTCGACCTTCCCGCGCATTCCACGCCGTGATTGCTACCTGCTTTTTGCTTCCTTCCACGAACGAAATCCTTGGAATCGTCCGTGGATGAAGTC